AGGCGCGACCGGGAGCGGCCGGCGCGACGACGGGGGACCGGAGGGGGACGGCTGCATGTTGCAGGTCTCTCCGGCGGTCAGTTAGGTTCAGTCCTCATAACGGTGTTCCGAACGTTGCGACGAGTTCTGCGGCTGTGCCCGTATCAATTTTCGCCTGGTTTTTACGCTCTGCCCATCCTCGCTCCCTGGCGATTTGCTCCGCGCTCGAGTTTTCCGTTCCTTCCGGTCGCCGGGGTTAGTGCTCGTCCTCAACCGGAATCCGCGGATCAACCCCTCTCGCCTCCCTCCCTCTCGAATCGGCAAGTGCTCATTCCGCCGATAACGCCCCAAACCGAATAGTTGTTGCTCTCCCTGTGCTCGAGGAACGCGGAATTTGAAGTGCCGTTTGTGCGGGTGTTTTGACGCTCGTGTGAAATCAAGTGCGAACCGACTTTTTCAGTGGTAACCTGATAGGTTTATTTGGATTTTACGCCGAAGCTTTGGATTAACCTTATTGGAGGTGAGGCTTTGAACCCATAACGAGGACTAACGAACACTGATAAAAAAAGTAGCTTGGATCTAGAGTCCAGACTCTTCAAAGCACGGACAAGAAAAAATACTCTCGACTCAATTGGAAATCCGCTTAAATCAAGGGGCTTGGCTCTTCGATTGAAGGAAAAATCCGATTGAATCAAGAGTATTTTTTCTTGTCAATGTTTTTAAATGTCTGGACTCTTGATCCAAGCTACTTTTTTTACCAGTGAACAATATCGTCTAACTGACAATTTTGGCAAAAATGAGTTAGCGACTTGCTGACTTCTGCAGTATGAAATACGCAAGCTGATGGTTTTATTTTTTTCCTCAATTCTGTAGGGGAGCGCTTCAATGACGCTCTAATGCATGAAGATATTGTAAATCTAACCTTAAAATTACAAAAATGACCAAGTGCTGTCTTTGTTCTGCAAAATCGTCAGTTTGCAGATAGGCGGTGTTGTTCGTTAGACATCGATAATCAGCTCTATTTAAAATTGAATGACATGAGGAGGTATGAAAAATTCGCTCGAAGTAAGCGGGAACTTACCCTGCTAGAACAGAGATATAATTTTGCACAATTGTGCACTGGATTGAGAGGAGAAAAGTTCTTTTATATGGCCCGTAGCACAGTGCTTAATATTAACTATACCATTCGATCCTAGTAATTATGGTCGTAGCTGGAATGGGTCAGGGTGGCTCTGACCCCCATCTCCCTAGAATTAGGAATAATATCATCTAGCCTTCCCCAGAAAATCCACCCAAAAGATAGTAGGTTTAGAAGCGGTGCATTTCATTGCTTCATTGCATGTTATGTGATAAGAGCATGGGTATAATTTGGGATATTTTTCAAAGGATTATTATTGGTAGAGTTGAACCTTTAGTTTGCGAATGGCAAAATTTTGCGAGAAATTAGCCCGAGAATGCATCCAAAAGTGGTCAATTTTCCAAAATTTTCCGGGAGAGATTCCTCCGAAACCTTCACTTTAAATTGGCCCTTAGGCCCTACTGGAGAAAAGGGGGGCCACGCCACCCCCCCTCCTCCAAATAGCATTGTTTAGATTGTAGTCCAATTTTCAAACTCTAATGTAGTTTTAATGAAAAACATCGAATTTTAACGATTGAGTCCCAATTGAAAGGAATGCGTAAGTTTCGCACTTTTTTTGAGTAGATTTGCACTAATTTTTACGAAATATCAAGATTCTTGTCATAAGTTTTCGTAAAAATCAGCGCGTTGAGCGTTCATTCTTTAGAATAAAAACGATTTTTGGATTCGTGCAACTGGCAGTTCTGTTCGTGTAACCGATCTTTCATCAGTTCTTTAAACCTCGTAAGTTCGCGGACATACGAACCTAACGTTCGGCTCGGTAAAGTTGACGAACCGAGTGGTTAGGATGTTGGAGTAACATCATTGTCTTTATTTCGTGGTCATACAATTTTATCTTCTTGGAAGTCAAAATATTTGTATATCTCGCATTTCGCCCCATCCAACTTTTCTACTCATGTGTTAAAGTCTCTGAGTCAGCCGAAAGACGTTAATGTTCTCCCTCATTTTGCGGATATGCAATTTCATCTACTTGGAAGCTAAAATAGTTGTATCGAGCGTTTCGCCCCATTTAACTTTTCTACTCCGCGTTAAAATCTCTCGGTCAGCGGAAAAGAGACCAATCTCTTTTTCACTGTCGTGGATATGCGAGAAAGTTTTGTTGCGTTACCCCGTAATTTCGACCGCGGATCTGTGAAAAGTGACCTCATCTTCCGGAAGAAAATTTCCGAAACTTTGACCCTTGCGCAAAAAACGATCGCGGGTATAGCGCCTGCAAAACTTCAGTGATACCTGAAGCATCGCACCCCGCAACCCCCCAAGCCCAGGACCCTATCTATAGTCTCGCTCTCGGCTCTTGACTCGCGATTCGCGCAGTTTCGAGATGCTTATGATTTGGAAATAGGTGGGAAGTTGTAAGCAAAAGTGGAGTGTATTTCGATCAATACGAAATAGATTTTATATCGTCTATTATTTAAGGTCGTAGCCTATGCATTTTTCCCACTGCTTAAACAGTTCACGGACGCGACCAAACGCGTTGGTTCGTGAACACTCCGCATCCCTGTAAGTAGGCACTGTCTACTTGGCCAGCAAAAATGTAGTTTGTTCCCACTGTTTCTGTTAGAGGAGCCGCATTTTAGCTCACAAGCCTTTTATTATACGGACGACTCCCCCAGAAATGTGAATTTAATGCAGATGTCTGCTTTCCCGGCCGCAGAGATGAAATAACATCGCCCAAAGCTGTCATCTCTGTCTTATAATCCTCGCCTGCTAGCGTTTACCCTAAACCTCATTGACGCGTCCTCGGTGATTTTCTCAACATCCATCCCCATTATTTAGTTGTTCCTAGACATCGATCTCCTGGAGCTCAACTAATCAATTTTTAATATACGTATAGCTTTAATGGCAAAATGGCCTCTTGTGAGCTTTCGTAGCTTTTCATCATTTTTCCAGCTCGATTTTTGAAATTTTGTTTTTTGTCTGCTGGAGTAGACAAGACTAAGAAAGAATGTATTTGCGTGATTGGTCGGCCTTAACAGTTGCCCTGTTAGTCTTACTCATAATTTACATTCGGTGAAATCAGTAAGAAACTTAATGCATCTCTTGAGTTGCCATACTTGGCCGCAAATATACTTCGACTTGGGCACAATTAAGAGGATGTCGGTTAAAACCGTTCAATCACATAACTCCATTTCCTCTTTAGTATTATCTTGTCCGGTCAAAAAACACAACATTTCACCATTCAAGCCACTGAAGAATTAAGTTTAAGAAGAATTAAACTTACATCTTGAAAGATGTAAGTTTAAAAATAGAATCCGCCAACTTCTTTTCAGCTGTGATTTATGTTCATCCCTTTCTCAAGCATAAATGGACTTGTCCATTTGAGTATCGTAATTCGAAGCCATGGTCCGCTCATGCAGATTCTATTTATTTTTCTTCAGATGATCATCATTACCTGCTATCCAGCTCTCT